CACAGGTTGCCGACCCTTGACTTAGACGAATTAAAAAGTACAAAATAAAAAAACAAAAAATCAAATAACGAGAACATACTTAAGATAATATTCCCAATCCTTTTTCGATACCACCATYAACCAACCAACCAACGTACGTAAGGAATCAAAATAATGAACGAAACAATTTTGAAATGTAAGTACAGAGAAATTGTTTATTTATTATTGTCCTTGAAACGTAGACGACGTCTTAAATCGATGTTTCCTGATATGTTGTTAATGATAATACTTCTTATTCATTTTTCTTCATCACATATTCAGTGTAACACGTATGTCAATTTAATTTCTTATTTATTCGATCACTTAGTGATGTAGTTTGCAATTTATGAATTATTTAACTTCCTTCTTCATCAACATCAAATGCTTGGATCTAATGACGAGATGGGAGAACATACAAAAGAAAAAAAATTACAAAAAAAGGATTAAAAGAAAAAAATTAATCACGTGATATCGATAATTAAAGAAATACAGAAAAAAAACGTTCAAAAAAAAAAAAAAGAAGAATAAAACAACTAATGAAATGAGTTAAAGATTTTTGAACGACGAAGGAACTCAATAATAATAATAATAATAATAATAATAATTATAATGATTACATATATTGTTTAAGAAAAAAAAAAAAAAAAAAAAAAAAAACCAATTACGATGCATAAGTTTCTCGAAATCGACGTTGAAGATGATGATATGCAGTTAAGACGCCACGTTTCTTTTTCTGTAGACGACATGGTGCCGGTTCTTGATTTGTTTTAACGATTTTAATGTCCAATGGTTCAACTGGTATATCATTGTTCGGGTGTACGAAGAATGCAATGGAATGACGACCACGACTGCAATGTTCTGGAACGACAACGCGATGTCTTAATGCTGGAAATTGATTATTTGTCCAATTGGCCAATATGCTTCCTGTGTTTATCAAAATGGCACCAGGTAAATGACCAACGCGTCTCCATTGATCACTGCACGATGTTTGTATTTCCAAACCACCTTCGCAATCCTAAAAAATAGAAAAACAAATTACAGATTAATTTTGCATTTAATTTACAGTGTCGTTATTGTTGTATAATATTTAACACTAGATATACTAGACTAGTTATTTTGACTAGTGTGGTAGAAATAGGTATAATGAAAATGGTGGTATATCTATAAACATTAACATGACATTTAATTTACAGTGTCGTTGTTGTTGTATAATATTTAACACTAGATATATTAGACTAGTCATTTTGACTAGTGTAGTAGAAATAGGTATACTGAAAATGGTGGTATATCTACTGTTAATATCATAATAAGAAATTGACATATTTAAATATTAACGTGACATTTAATTTACAGTGTCGTTATTGTTGTATAATATTGAACACTAGATATATCAGACCAATCATTTTKACTAGTGTGGTAGAAACAGGTATACTGAAAATGGTCGTACATCTATAAAAATTAACATGACATTTAATTTACAGTGTCGTTATTGTTGTATAATATTCAACACTAGATATATCAGACCAATCATTTTGACTAGTGTAGTAGAAATAGGTATACTGAAAAAATGGTGATATATCTATAAACATTAACATGACATTTAATTTACAGTGTCGTCAATTAATATTTTATAAATATTTAATATAATAATAAAAAAAAAAAAATTGACATATTGTAAAATATTAACGTGACATTTAATATACGGTTGTCATTATTGCTGTATAATATTTAATATCATGATAAAAAAAAAATGGACATACTGTAAAAGTTATCTCTTTTAAAATATATATTTTTCTAGATAAATTTATTTCTTGTATAAATTATACAAAAGTGAACCCCAAGTATACCTTTTATTGTCATTCAATACGCATAACTTGTAGTATCTTTTACAGTACCGAGGTTATCCACATACCTGTGCAAGCAGAGTGAAAGTGCCATAATCGAAATGAGGGCCGCAACGCGTCACGTCTGTTGACGGAGCACCAATTGGTGGATAATAAAGAAGACGAAGTGTAGTTTCATTACCAGTTCCCAACATTTGATCATGTTTCAATAACAAGAAGTCAGGAGATTGTTCCAAACCAACTGATAATGCCTAGACAAACATCAAACTATCGTTTATCATTTATTTTATAATTTCATTGGAACTTATATTGTATGTAATGTAACCTAATGTAACCAAAGAAACCTAAAATCGTATTCAGGAAAAATCTTGCTACTTTCTTATTGGGATTATTTAACAGTAGTATCTTTTTTTTTTTGGTTTTAAAACAAAGCTTGAGAATCCCTGAACTATCAAGAAGACATATGCTATTATTATCAAGTATTATTAAAAAAAAAAGAAAAAAAAGAAGAAGAAGAAGAAGAAGTAAAAAAGAAATAGAAATGTGAAGGAATAATTACGGTTAAGAGCATGACTGAAAGTTGTTTGAAATCTCTTTCTAATTCTTCCACTGCAGGTTTAAATCCGGGTACTTCATCTTGCGGTAATGCTCCCTCGCAACCGGTAATGTTGAAAGCATGACGAATTTCTTCTTCTTTTGCGAATCTAATATATTAAACAAAAAATAATAATAATAATAAATATATGTGGCGTGATATATCATCAAAATGAATAGTTGCTAATTTTTATCGAATTTATCTCAAAAGTAACGCAGGAATTTACATCTTTACCTCATACTTTAATATCTGTCGTTTTTTTTTTTTTTTTTAAATGACAGACAATTATTGTTAAACATTAAAAATGTGTTACCAAAAATAAAAAATAAAATATACCTGACGTGTATGTCTTTTTGTTTTATACGATGATATATACACTTTTTTTTTTTTATTAAAATTTAACAATTAGGGAATATTTTTTTTTCTATTCATTTAATTGTATTTTTGATTAACATTGTTCTTCACAATGCGCATGTGCAAATGAAGGGGACAGTTTGAAAAGCTATAAAAATTAAAAATGTATTTTTTCGTTTGTTTGATCTTTTTGATTTGTCTCTCTGTATTTTTTTGTTTTTTTTTTTTTTGTTCTTTCTTTCTTTTCTTTTTATTATTATTCTCATACGCACCAAGAGACATTTCAAGTCGTGCGGCAACATCGACACACTTACTTCTCCATTCCAGGCTTGACATATCCATGATTGGATTTGCTCGAAGAATCACGTAGGTATTTGCTTTTTGTTTCCTCTGGCAATTCGGAAAACTCATCTAATGCTCTGTACGCTGCTTTCAACTGCAATCCAATGAAAAATAACAATATTATTTAAGGTTTAATGTCATGTCAATGTAGAACGAGTTTAAATATTCGCGCCATTTAAAGAAAAAAAAGTGATTTTTAAATATGGAGTACATATTTAAAAAAAAACCGCGAATATTTAAAAAGAAACCTGAGAATAATAAACAAAAAAAACTCAATGAATATTTAAAAAAAAAAAAAATCAATTCGTGAATATTTAAAGGAAAAAAAACCCGCGAATATTTAAAATTGTCCCGAAAGTACAAATGAAATTCTATCAAATTTAAATTTTCAATATAAAATTATTAACATACATAAAACGAGTTTAAGCATTCGCGCCTTTATTGAATACAATGAATTTTCAAAATGGAGTCCACATTCAAAAAGAAAACCGCGAATATTTAAAGAATAAAAACCCGCGTATATTTAAAGAAAAAAACCCCGCGAATATTTAAAATTGTCCCGAAAGTACAAATGAAATTCTATCAAATTTAAATTTTCAATATAAAATTATTAACATACATAAAACGAGTTTAAGCATTCGCGGATTTATTGAATAAAATGAATTTTCAAAATGGAGTCTACATTTAAAAAGAAAACCGCGATTATTTAACAAAAATCGCGCGAATATTTAAAGAAAAACCCGCGAATATTTAAAATTGTTTCGACAATACAAATTAAATTCCATCAAATTTAAATTTTCAATACATAATTATTAACATACATAAAACGAGTTTAAGCATTCGCGCCTTTTTTGAATAAAATGAATTTTCAAAATGGAGTCCACATTTAAAAAGAAAACCGCGATTATTTAACAAAAATCGCGCGAATATTTAAAAACAAAAACCCCGCGAATATTTAAAGAAAAAAACCCCGCGAATATTTAAAATTGTTTCGTCAATACAAATTAAATTCCATCAAATTTAAATTTTCAATACATAATTATTAACATACATAAAACGAGTTTAAGCATTCGCGCCTTTTTTGAATACAATGAATTTTCAAAATGGAGTCCACATTTAAAAAGAAAACCGCGAATGTTTAACAAAAATCGCGCGAATATTTAAAAATAAAAACCCGCGAATATTTAAAATTGTTCCGACAATACAAATTAAAATCTATGAAATCTAAATAATTCTAATACAATAATATTACTAACATACAAATTTTAATCTATGTGTGTGTATGTATGTATGTATGTATCCATGCATGTATGCTTGTAATGTATTATATTTTTAATCATTCTCATTAACACTTCTTCAATAATAAAAAATATAAAATGATCGATCAGAATATTAAATAGAAATTTTATTAAAGATATAAATATAGATAGAAATATAAATATTATATTTAATTAAAAAAAAAAAAAAAAGAAAAGAAAAGAAAAAAGAAAGAAAAACAAAGAAATGTGTAAAATAGATCATTTTCGAGAATGATCGATAGACCGATGATTCATAATTAAAACGTCACAATTACGTATGTCAGATAGATCATTACCCTTTTGACAAAATTTAAAAGACAACTTTATCGTTGGTAAAGTATATGCAATGAACTGTTACATCATTATAATGGAAAGAGAGCACAGAATGATAGTAAGTTCAAGTGCCGAGGTCATTGTATAATCTAAAAAGATTTTTTTTTTATCTGGAGCCCTTGAAAACTTCAATGCTTCTCCATCCAATACATCTATATATATATATATATATATATGTGTGTTATGTATATTCATTTTATTAATAAATTTTCATATCAAAGTGATTCATGTTTGCATGGTCATCAACCATAGATATTAATAAAACAAAAAAAAAAAAAAACAAAAAAATAAAACATTCTTTACACTTTCCTATACTTTAACGATATTGCCATAATGATGAAAATAAAGTTGAAAGTTGATACCAGGTTGCATAATAATAATTATCGTTTACTTTTCATTATCTTTCTTTCTTTCTTTTTTTTTTTTTTTTATATATATTCCATGCATTAAGAACACAATTTTCTTTTTTTTTGTAAATCATAAAAGAATGTAATAAACATTTAATATACATATATATATATATATATAAATAATATAATATTAAATTAATAATATTAAATTAATAATAGTAAATTAATATAATAAAATTAATAAAATTAAATTAATAAAATTAAATTAATAAATAATATTAAATATAATAATATATATTTAGTATGTATATATTAATAATTATATTTTATATATAGATATATATATATATTAATAATTATATTTTATATTTAGTATATATATATTAATAATTATATTTTATATATAGATATATATATATATATATATTTATTTATTTATTATAAATTATTAACACTAGATATATACCAGACCAATCATTTTGACTAGTGTGGTAAAAATAGGTACGTATACTGAAAATGGTGGTATAAGAATGTATTTAAATGTTAAAAAAATTTAATATATATATAATATCATTAAAAATTTATTAAAGTTAATATTTTAGTATAAATAAATAAATAAATAAATAAATAAATTATATAAAAATATATAAATTGAAATGTAATTATACAAAAAATGTCAACCCATTAAAATAATCAAAAATATTTATTATTATATTTAATTATTATCAAGACATCTTTGTTGTGTGATAATTTGTTGTTGTTACTTATTATATTTGTTTTTTTTTTATTGATTAATTTATTATTCATACCTTAAATTCTGGAATGCCATGATTGACGAGTAAAGCCAATCCTTTTTCTGATAATGCTCTTACTAATTTCGTAGCAACTTGTTTTACTACACCTTTCTGAGGACATCTTTCCGTTCCTGAAATAAATAAATAAAAAAAACAATAAATAAAAGAAAAAATTAAATTAAAAAATGATTAACAATTTATAATTAAGTAAATAAACGTTAATGTTTTGTTGTTGTTGTTGTTTTTTTGTTGTTGTTGTTGTATTTTGAATTAAAAATATTTTCTTCTTTATTATTTTAACGAGTCTAACGAGTTTAATGAATTTTTTTTTTTGTATAATTATGTTTGTATAATTTATGAATAATTTTCTTTTTATGATCATCTCTCAATTAAGCAGTTTAATGACTGTAAAAAATGAATAACAGAGGAAATATACGAGGATTTGATTTATCTACATTAAAACGTGTTTTAAGATGATTCATCGTATCCTTTGATGATAACAAATCCACTTCCTCGAATGACTTTAAATAAACAAACGAATATAATCGTCAAATGATCCAGGAAGTGTACACGTGGTGTACACGTGTGTCACATCGTGTGTCACGTCGTGTGCACGTATGTTATATATATATATATATATATTTCTTCTTTTACTCATATTATAAAATAAAATAAAATTAAATTAAACTAAAAGAAAATTAACATAACCTAAATTCAAATAAAATTAAAATTAAAATTCAAATTCAAATTCAAATTAAAATTCAAATTCAAATAAAATTAAAATTCAAATAAAGTTAAAATAAAATTAAAATAAAATAAAATTAACATAACCTAATATCAAATGAAATTGAAATTAAAA